CTTTCCTCTTTCCTTTCCTCTTTCCTTTCCTCTTTCCTTTTCTCTTTCCTTTTCTCTTTCCTTTTCTCTTTCCTTTTCTCTTTCCTTTTCTCTTTCCGTTTCCCTTCCCTTCCCTTCCCTTCCCTTCCCTTCCCTTCCCTTCCCGAACCTCTCCTCTCCTTCTCCTCCCCACTCCAATGAATTTTCTGTCTGATATCTCCAGGGGAGTCTGTCTGTCGAGCAGGTGAGAAGTGTGTTTTGGGGACAGATGCCCTGCAGCACTGGTTGCATGAGGACTGAAACAGAGATCAAGGAGAAATCACCAATCTCCCTATGAGCTGTTTAACCAGTATTTCTTATTTCAGGTTCAGTGGCCTGCAGGGAGTAAAGGTTCTTAATAAATGTGTTTTTTAAAGGATCAAGTGAGAGTTTGGTCAACACTGCTCTTCTGTCTCTGACTGGCAGAGCAAGCCTGTCACTGTTTTGGAGTTTGCCCTAGCTACTGTCACGCCTACCTTGTCCCCCCATGGCTCCCGGAGACAGGGGAGGAAAAGGTGCAGAGAGCAGCTGGCCCCGCCACCTGGGTGGCTGGGCTGGGGCCGTGCACAGATTAACTTGCGCAGAGTCTCACATCGAGTATAAATTCCCAGCCTGAGCTGAAACATCTGCAAATAGCTGGGAGCTTGCGTGCTCCAGAGGCCTGTCCCTGTTCCTGACTCCGTGTGTGTTCATCCATTCCGTCCGAGCTCGCTGCCCGGCAGAAGGAGCTGTGGGCGCGGGGTCCTCCGGGGAGCTCCCGGTGCTTTCACCTTGCCACACCAGGCTCTGCCTTACGCTGGTTTTGCGAGCGGGGATGCGGCCAGGGAGCAGCAGTGCCGGTCCTCAGGGCCCTGTGGCCCGGGGATGTGGCCAGGGAGCAGCAGTGCCGGTCCTCAGGGCCCTGTGGCCCGGGGATGTGGCCAGGGAGCAGCAGTGCCGGTCCTCAGGGCCCTGTGGCTCGGGGCTCCGGGGATGTGACCAGGGAGCAGCAGTGCTGGTCCTCAGGGCCCTGTGGCCCGGGGATGTGGCTAGGGAGCAGCAGTGCCGGTCCTCAGGGCCCTGTGGCCCGGGGCTCCGGGGATGTGACCAGGGAGCAGCAGTGCCGGTCCTCAGGGCCCTGTGGCCCGGGGCTCCGGGGATGCGCTGCCTCACCTGGCGCTTACCCATGCTGAGCCCTCACTCGGCCCCAAACACGCCAGATTTTTGGCTTTACAGGCACGCTGCAAACCACATTTTTCCTCATAGGCTTCTGCAGAGGTGGTGAGCCTGGGGAACATGTGGTTAAAAGGGAACTAGGCTCTGTATTTACATGGGTTTGTTTCATTCTTTTCCTCTCCCGGTGCAGCGCGTTATTTTACTTGCTGCAAAATTGCCTTTGGCAATTAGATGGACACTTTTCTGCGTGTGAGAAATCTCAAGAAATTAAAAGCCTTTGAGGGGCTTAAACACCATCTTGTGTTTAGCTAAAATGGAGCTTAACAGCAACCCGGACTAAGATGAGTTTATACACAGGCACATAAAGCTCCAGGGTGGTCTTAGTGGGTCTGCTGAATGCACCCTTCATCTGCAATGCTCCAGCCGCGTTTCCTGCCGTGAGTTTGCACAGGTGTCTGCATAACTTGGCTCCCAGCGTACTTATTTCTTGCGATGAGACACCAGACTGAAAAAAACACATTACACCAGCTTAGCCTGAGATCAGTTTGCTGAGCTGACAGTCAGGGGAAAACTCTGGTGAACTGTGCACATCTGACACACGAGTGGGGAGACCGTCAGGCTCTGGACCCCTCAGGACCATTTTCAGAGATGTGCTTTCCAGGCCTGACCTGCCCTGAGCATGACATAAGGGAGCCCACACAGTGAGTCAGTGCTGGAGCTGAATTCCTGGCGCTCAGTCCTCTGCTCACTCTGCTAAACCACACTGAGATTAAACCAACAGAGGCAAAGAGGGAGCCTGGATATAAGGGAATTTAGCAGGGAACCTGCCTTGACTTATTAATGGAAACTTTTGAAAACAGGCAGCAGCAGTAATTTTATTATATTTTTTTTGCCATGCTGAAACAATTTGTGTGCAGTAGAGTCATTCCCTGGAAAAACATTTCTTTAATTTATCTTCTTTAATTATCACTCATCTTTAGCAGCATCTGGTTCTGATATTTTATTAGAAAGTTTGCATGTTTAAACCAGGCCTGGGTGGTATTTAATTTTTTTCTTGTTTCCATTTTCTACTGTGCTGGTACTTCCCTTGGTGGGAAGAGATTGGCTTTGCTTTATTTCACAAGACATAATAAATCATATGGCCATTCTATTTAACATCATTATTACCATGTAAGCATGCTCAGAGACATATCCTGCAGATCACATGGTGTATTTACTTGAGGTTAGAACACCAAGCAGTACAAACGGCAGACTGGGTTCTTGTTGTGAAGAGATGCACGCTGCTTATGGAAAGATGTACTTTCTACCCAAGATCTTAGCATTTGACTGGTGGTGCTGAACAGCTTATGATGTCCAAAACAAAGACTGATTTTTGAGAGGACTCCTTTAAATTGGGCCCCTGTAATATAATATTTCTCAAGTTGTGCTTCCAAAGCATGAGGTACTCAACATGGAACTCCCTGCTGAGATTTTAAGCTGTAGTTTCTGTGAGGGATTGTGGACAGAAGAAGAAAGATTGGTGCTCTTATGGGCCAGTTTTTCCTTTGTTAGTAGTGGGTTTTGAGAATAGGTTCCTGCTAAGGGACAAGAAGACTAGCTAATGTTTACTAAACTTTTGTTTCTGCTGCTGATTCTTTCTTCAGTTAAATGTCATTTTATGATCATATATGACCTTCTCTAAAGTAACTTACCAGTGTTGCTGGTGGATTGGTGAGAAATCATCTCTCAGATAAAGATTAATTCAGATGTAACAAGAAGATGAAACAGGAAAAGAATGTCTTGTAGAGAGTTGCAGATATAAGCTATCACCACTTTATATCAGAAAGGATCAAAATGAGATCATGATGTCAGATGTTAAAGGAGAATTTTAGACAGAAATAAAGAAAAGCAGATGTCAGTTTAAGGCTTTCAGCACCTACAGTATATTGCATTTTCCTTCCTGTGACATCTGCTTACTTAACACGGGGTGTATGCTTCTTTCATGGTCTGCCTGTTTTCCCTATCGTGCAATGTTTTCCTCTGGTTAGATGCAATTATGGTCTGTGTGGTAAGGGTAAATTAAATATGACCTAGAAGTCACTTGTCCTCATATACATAAGCCAGTGAGTCTTTGCTGTTGTCCAACAAGGGCTCTATCCTTTCTTACTGGTGCACAGCTACAATGCCCACAGGAGCCTCAATGAAATTTTATCTAAATTAGCAGTTTGGTTTTGGAAGAGAAGAACGGCTAGTCTGGAAAGGCAACATGGACAAGGCAATGATGTGCAGATATGGCTCAGATGATCATGAGCATGCGTTAGTACTTCTTGTTACTGCCCTGGAATTGGAAGACGGGAGCTGAGCAGGCCTGTCCCATACTGTATTGCACTGTAGTGCAAAGTCACTAATGTGCTGATAGGTTAAATATGAATTCAGGTGACTTAAACAAGCCTTGTTTATGTGTTTGCAGTAGAGCAGAGGATACTGGGCCCTGGAAAAGAGCATTACCATTTCCAGCACCAAGAGTCAGTGCTTTCTCTAGGTGGGAAGAGCTTGCCCTGTTGTCTCTGTTCAAGCCCTCAGACAGCAGGACTAGCAGCACTTCTGCCTCTCTGGTGTCTGATGGGTCACAAAGCCCACAAGAGAAAAAGACAGGTTGGCCCAGACAGCAGGTACTGTCTGATGCTCTCATTGGCATGAGACATAGGCTGGAGACAACCACCAGTGTCTGAACTGTGGGGCTAACACCCATAGTTTCAGCAGAGTTTGTTGCTAGAAACTGGGTCTTGGCCTCACCTTGGACACTGAGCCTTGGCCAGCTGGGGCACATTTCAAGAGTCTGGGTCTCAACTTCCCTTGAGTTGCCAGGGACTGTAATACAGAAAGGAAAGGTTTCACCAAAAGCCATGTTTGGATGCCTGTGGACTTTCCCTCAAGGATAGAGTGACAAATGATGCCCACAAAATGTCAAAACCACTTTCTCAAAACTATAGTATTGTTTCCTTTTCCAAAAGGCATTTACAAAATGAGCAGTTCTTCTCCATCCTCCAAATTATCCACAGCTCTGCCCCTTTGGCAACGGAGGCAGGTCTCTGCTTCTGCAGACACTACAGCGAGTGCCTGAGTCTCGGTCTGGTGGCCCTGAACAGCTCCCCAAGATCTCCTTGGCTCTGAAAAGAGAGTCCTGCTGATGCAGCCAGAGTTCATTTGTGCTTCTCGCTTGTCAGACTTTTGGCTCTGTCTTTCCCAACCAGTTCAGTAGGCCCTGCAGGAAGCTGAACCAGACTCCTGGGAGCCCATGACTTTCCCATTGTCCTGTGTTAACTGCAGGGCTGGCTGAGTTCAAGCCATTTTGCTTCCTTTGTGATTGTTTTCCTTACAGTCTGCTATTAAGCATAAGCCAAATATTTGTGCAACAAACAGTTATGAGGCCAGTGCACCCTGTTAAAATCATTGTGGGATAGCTCTGTGTCTGTCACACCATGCACTACCCATCTAAATATGCAACAGGCTGCTCCTTGTCCATCACATGTGCACATGACCCCGGGACACCAACATGTGAGGCAGCACGATGAACGTAGAATGACACCTGCCCTGACACCTGTGCTCTTCTGGTCAGACTAAGCAAGCTACAGCTTCAGGGATGTCTCCTAAAAGGTTTCATTATGAAGATTTGAACTGAGGCCATGTGGCAATGCTAAGGTTTGGTCTTGGCTGGTTTTATCTTGTTTCACTGATTTTGGAATAACGGTGAGGAGATCACCCAGCTGTGAGGTCAAGTACAAACAGGCATCAGCCCAGTTTACTCAAGGATGTAACACAAAGGTAGTGGAAGATTATCTTCATTTGTCCAATGGACTGTGTTAGACAGATGGCATCAGAGTGTCATTGCAGTATCTAAAGAGCAAAACTGTTTTATCTAGGTAAGGAGAAAAACACATCTCCAGACTCTTTGCTGGATCTTAACAGGTAACTGAAAAAGAAAATGCACATGGAGAGAAGAGACTAATGTGCTCTTCCATCTCTAGTTGAGTCCCATCCCTGCTCCCTTCTGGGAGGATGGTCCATTTTTTGTGGAGGTAGTTTTATGAGGAATGTGGAAACAGGAAGGCATTATGGAGAGAGTAACAATTCCACTCAGGCTGAAAACAATATAGTCTCTGTCCCAGAGGGGACAAGGGCTGCTCCAAGACACTCCTTCTGTTCCAGCTACCCCATCTTGGGGAACAAGAGACTTCATCTTGCTAGGATACAAATAAAATAAGTTTTTGTGTGGATAAAGCCACTGAAATAGAAGGTAAAGAAGCCTGCCTCAGAAAGGTGTAAAATCATCATGCAACTATCAAGCTGTATTTCTTTTTTTCTGTGCTGTGTTTTTCGTCTGTCATGGATGTAAACTTGGCCTTGTGGTTGAAATGGCAACAGCTGTAAAATTCAAAGAATAAATTCCTCCACGCTTTTTAAATAAGTGTCTACCCTCATCAGCAGACAATCTGCATGCTTCAGCTGAGTTTCTAATTGTCCAGTACTTTCATGCACGAAGTACAAGCTATGGTTTCCCAGGCTTGTTTTAGGGCACAGCACTTACCCATTAGAGGGAAATTTTTCCATATTGCTCACTGACAGGATATGGAAGGAGTGAATATTTTGCTGGAAAGATCTGGGGTTATTCCCTAACAAATTGAGTGTGGTATCTGTGGTTTGGCATGAACATCAGCACTGATTTATCTCACTGTAGCCCAGAACCACCGTGGGCTGACTGCTTCAGCCAACACACAGGAAGGTTAGTGCACTACTTCCAGGTATTTTTTCTCCTGTGTTACATTGATTCACTCCCAGGGGTATCCTAGAACTGACCCTTAGTAAAGCACACAGTCCTCTCTTGCTCTGTTTTTCTTTTCAGACATTTTCAGCCTTTCTATGTCTGAAATTAGGTGGAGAAAGGAGTAAGTTAGGCCAGAGGTCCCTGGCTCATTTTTTGCTTATTTGGCAAGCACCTGTTTTTACTGTTGAACTTTCTTTTCCATTCCTTTTAATAATTTTCTCTCTTAAGCCTAAATGATTGGGTGCTGCTGAATCCTGACTGTATTGCATTTGGATCTTGGATCATAACTTCACAAAATTTGGGAAGAGCCTTCTATGTCCTAGGCTTCCAGAATCAATAGCAAACAAAAATTACTTTTGCATTAAATCTGGATAATGTGACTTTGCTGAGGCTGACTTCAGGATCATAATTCCTGATTCGTGTCTGATCAGTGCCATGGCCTGTGATTTTGGAAGTTTCTGAATAAACTGAAAAGCCATCAGAATCCAGCTGCCAACCCACTGATGTACTGAGATACTTCTCTTGTTCTTGTATGAATAACATTGGATTTCTTATTTCTTTTTCAAAGGGACCACTTCCCACTTCTTCTTATCCTCTTCTGATTATTCTGGACAAAATAAAGGCACCAGCCTCAGTACTGGGCATCTGATCCCAACAACCAGTACTTCTCTTCGTCACTGAGAATAGAGATTTAGCTTATTGCTTCAATAAAGCATCTTTGCAGATAATATGTAGGTGAGCTTGGGAAACCCAGCCATTTGGAAGGCTGGTAGTGTGTTTTGAATTAATTTCCTTACCTTACTGTGCTTTAAAGTATCTGTGGCTTGACCTTTATTAGAGATTTTAAAGAACAAATTCAAAATACACTCTCAGCTGTACTTAGCCTGCCTCATACTGGCCCATGGAATACATGGCTCCTTGAGATCCCTTCCAGCTTTCTTTCTGGGATGTTTGTGACTCTCACTTTACTATGACACACTCTGCAAAAATATTACTCTGTGTTTTACGTGTGCTGCCTGTGAGGCTGTTTGTTCAAGCTGGACCCCTCCCCAGGCAGGAGGTTTCCTGTCTGTTTCTACTCTGTATATGTGGAATGTCCTCCACCTCAAATTGCTTCTTTCATTCCTGCTGTACAGTTGTCTTTTAGTTATTTTGTCTCCTTTTGGATGTCCTCTTATGCATTTCAATATGCAAAATGAGCTTCTTACGTTCCTGGTTCTCTTTTTAGTAGCTGCAAGATGTCTTGTAGATCAGTTTGATAGTGCTGAACAAGAAAAAGAGAAAGCTTTCATGCAGGGCTCCTTAATTTCTTTGAACGTAACCACTTCTGGGGATCCAAGTCTGCTATTTTAGACAGATAATATGGCAGATAATATCCACTAATAATGGGTGGATTGTTCAAAAATCCCATTTTTATGGATCATTGGGAGCCTCTACTGATGCAGTAAGGCTGCACAATGGCACAAATAATTGCCATGTTGATTGACCTGAGTTTCCATGTGGGATCAAGTAAAACACTGGAGAGTTGCTTTGGATCTATTCTGTGGATGAAGATAAAGATGTTGGGATTTTTTTTTTTTTCCCAGGTTATGTAAAAGTCCCGGACAAATACACAGAAGATCCATTTAAGAGGCCTGTCCAGGAATATCTGTTCCTAAGGAGAAACAGCTCTTTCCCAGGGCAACTGGTTGATGTACTTCAGGGGACACACTAGGTCACTAGAGTATCAGTGATGTCTCATTTACTAAAATGCTAGAACTATCTCCAAAACATGTAAAAAAATATTAAATTTGTCTCTAAAATTTAGACAGCTGACTGAATGGATCACAAAACTCTAGTTTTGAATGCCTTTATTTTGTGGGGAAATTGTTTCTTAGGGATGTTTCTACTTATGTCAAATAATTTTTATTGGTATTTGGTAGGGAAGCCAGACACCACTGTCTGCATAAGAAAATGCTAATTTTTGGCACACTGGGATGCCAAGTAGACATGTTAATATATGGCTACACGTGTGTATTCTGGTATCAGTAGTGGATGAAAATAATACAGATGTACTTACTTGAAAATCTGTGGAAAATCAGAATGATTTTCCCTAAAAAAAGAAAAAAAGATATAAAAGTTTAATTTTGCATTCTTGATCAATTAGAAATACAGTCCAGATCCTCTGAAAAAAAATAAAAAAAGGATCAAATAAAACACCAACTTTGTAAGAGCAGTGAATGATGAAGCTGCAGCCTGTATTTTTTTCCTAAGGGAACATTGAATGAGATGTTGATGGATGCCTTCTCCTGGTCTGCTTCAGCCACAAATGCTGCAGGAGTGCAGGGTAAGTTAGCTCCAGGCACACACTCTCTGTTCCAATCAAGGGAGCAGCAAGGGCGCTTTGCAGTCACCTCCTGGGCCTTAAGTCAGGGTTCCTACCACATGGGATGTATCTGTGTCTGCTTTCAGCATAGCAGTGGGCATAGCTGGCATGAACACCTGGGCAGAGGAGCTAGGAGGAACTCATGGGTCCTGCCAGACAGACATGGGAAAAATGCCTGGTGCTTGTAAAGAGTTTTGGAGCAGGGATAGAGGATAGATAGCAAATATTACATGCTTATTACTTAAAAGTTACCTTTCCAAAGACACACTTCCTTTCCTTCAGCCAGCTGTTCTGCCTCAGCACTCTTAGCTGGTAGATCTCCAAAGCTGCAATGTGAGTTTAAAATAATTTATTGCAAAATCTTCCTCCTTGTTGCACTCTGCTGGGCTATACAGGAAAGAAGTAGGTGAACTAAGATTATTTTCAACAATTCTTTTTTTATTTCAACTCAATGAGAAAAAGACTGATCAGTCAAATATCTTCTCTGGCCTTTTCTGTCCACTGCTGTCAAAACAAAATGTTTTTGAGCATTTTCTTTTCATTTGTGTTACGTGGGTTTAGGCAAGGGCTCCAGCTAATATTTATCAAAGGCGAGAGTCCTTTCATCTACAGATTTGTGTGAGCATTGAATCAGCCCCTAACTGCCCACATCTGTATTTTTCACATGGAAGTCAAAAGCTTAGAGTTCCTAGATTAGACCCCTCACACAGGAGAAATAAATGGGGAAAATCCAAAGGATAGACATGGGAAATCTACTTGAACAGCATCTTCACCCTTCTTCTATTTCTGAAAATCTGGAACTGTGGGGGGACAGCAAAAGGTTTTGAGAGATAGATACTCAGCAGTAAGTACTTTCACTGCTCCCACTTATCCTGGATGCTATCCCTCTCCCTTTGTAAGACACCCATGGTCCATGTGTGGATATGATGGAGAGGGAGGACAGTCCTCAACCTGGCAGGTAGGATAATGTGCTCAGATTGTCAGTTTGCTTGTCTGGTCATTCATACAGGTCTTTACATTTTTATATGCCTCATCCTGTTACAAATAAAATGGGAATAATAACATCTTGAGAAACAACCATAGTCTACTATGGCAAGCACCCATCCATCCATCCATCCATCCCATTATCTTCTCTCTCTTACCACCCAGTAGCAGATTCCCAAATCAGGAATTCCTGGTCACAGCATTGGTGTTTTATGTGGAAATTTTTAAAAGGCGATTGCGGATTTATTTTTTTTTTTTCACTCTGCCATCCCCTTTGCAGTCAGCCATTAGGTTCCCTCCTCAGTTGTCATAATTCACAACCTGGCATTTTAAGGTAAATCTTGATCTCACTTCATCCTAGAGCCCTGGTCTGTGACCTGCAACAGATCAGTGCTCAGACCCCTGGTCCCTTCTGCCTGGTGACTGATGGCTCGTGGGAGCAGTGACCTCTCCAGCCACTGCCACTAGATTTGACAAGGGCCATGAATCAGAGTTCCAAAACTCAGTGAATGTCTCTGGACATACAGCTGTGACTGCATGTCTCACCTGTGCACACGATTCACACACAGCCTCTCTCTCTAGGTTATCTGCATAGCACAAACATCCCCGTGTACTTTGGAAATGTTTACCCTTCCCAGTGTGATCATTTTGTTCTTAGTTAAAGGCAATTGATATGAAGCATCATAGATGAATTTATTACTAAAAATGCCTTCTCCAACTGTGCAATGCTTTTATTTTAAAGTCTAATGGTCTTCCGTCCCTTCTCACTGTGTAATTTTTATTAGGGTCTTCCACGATTAATTTTGGAGCAGGAACACGAAAGGGGCAGATCTCCAAGAATGGCATTGTCTGCATCCACTCTCAGATTATTTTTTTTAAAAATTTATTTCTTTGTTAAAAGATATTTCATTCAGAGAATCCCCACTGAGCTTTTTATTGCAGAAAATTAGGGATCATAAATCGTCTCCCAGAAAACTATAAATCCAGTACTATTGAAACATTCCATGGGCAGATCTTGGCTCTTTGATGAAATCACTCCTTTTTCTTGTATAATTTATGAGCTTTTTTTCAGCATGGGGGGATTTATGCTTTTAAATTGCTCACCAGGGTTTTATTGAATATAATTTGCTAGCAAATTTATATGAGCCAAATATATTGCATTTTATCCACAATTATGAGCAATAAAATTGATGGAGCTTTACTTTTCATTTTCTTCTGGCAAGCAGAGGAAACATGAGTTTATCCTGAACTTGGAGTGAGGTTTCTCAGGGATTCACATATACAATTAAAAAAGAAAAGAGTGTAGTCAGCAAGGCAGAGGTGCCATTTTGGAAACTTTATTTGGTATATGGGAGGGGGCAAGTTAAATTTCTCTTGCTCCAAAGGGACTGTAAAACACTGAGGAGCTGAGTTAAAACCACTGAAGCCTATGACACACATCAACTTTTGCAGAGTTTGAATCACACTGTTGGGAGGCAAGGTGTGGATAATCTGTGTAAGAGCTGCATGTCTTTCATGGTCCCCTTTGATCCCATTTTCCTGTGGTATTCAGATTTTCATTTGATTCAACCTGGCATATTCCAAGGCACAAAAAAACCCTCCAGTATAACTCTACCTTCCATGATTAATTTTATTTATTGTATCTGAATTGTGTTCATTCTGGTATGCCCATATCCCTTGAGGACTTTTATGACTGACAGAAGAGAGGAGTAAAATCCCATATATCATTAATCTCTATAAGGCATAAGGAGCCACAAGTGTTCCATGTCCTGGTTCTTAAGAGGCTGTTATTTCCAAATACTGGTTTCTCAAAATAAGACTTCTAAA